AGGCTGCACTCGTGGCAGCAGGGACTGCGAGGCTGTAGGGTTCCTAAACCCTAAACACTAACTCCCTTTGAGTCATATGTTCCCAAGAGAGAAGGATCCAAACCTGAGGGCTCCGCGCCCGAGGGCACGGTGATGATGGCGAAGGGCGCGACGAACGACTGGCCGGACTTCCTCGCAGAATGTCGGGGCCTTAATAATTAGAATAGGGCTCAAAAAGGCTTTAAGGGTCCTTTAAAAGGGTTCCTTAAAGGGTTGTATAAGGGCTACTATAAAGGTTCAGGGTTTGGAGGCCTTAATAATTAGAATAAGATTTTTTTTTTTTTTGGGGGGGGGTTCTTTATTATAATATTATAATATTACAGTATAATATACCGCAAGGCCTATTCTACTTGTTAAAGCCCCTATATTAGTATAGGATCGGTTTTGAATGATCAGAATAGGGTTTTGGGGTAGACTATACTGTTGATGGCATAAATCCTGCATTATTTGAAGGACCCTAAAACCATGGGAATTATCGTATATTCCTTATTAGGGGTACTGCAGGATTCACACTAACAACCGTAGTATACATACGGAAACCTCAGGAAATAAGATGATGGTATTTGTTCAGTCTTAGGAATTTATTGTTTCACCGCCTGTTGAGTTTTGACATGTTTGGGGGTTAGAGTTAGAACATGCAAGGGGTTAGGGCTTACGGAAAACACGATGTCTTGTTGTCAGGCTCAAGGAGGGCTGAAGCTTCTTTGTAGGGTTTCGGGTGTAGGGGAGTATAGAGGGGGTCCTTGCTGCAAGGGTCCCTTCCCCAAACCTTTCTGAACGCTCCTTGCTGCACATGTCTGTATGCTGCAGGTTTCGAAGAAACTGGTTTGGGAGGAATCGGCAGTGACCCATGGGTTCCTTCACCCTGGAACATGTCGGCTCACCGTGACCAGGGCGCGTGGTGATCTTCACCATGGAATCCGTTTGCCACACCTCCTGGAAGCAGAACACTATCAGAACCGACTTCAATGAGAGGTCCGATTCCGCCAGCCCTCTAACGACTGTAAGTAGACTATATATACTGGGTTCTTGTTAAGGAACTCATCTTGCGTGACCATGATAGGGACATCTAGTCAACTTGATATGGCTTCCTGAATTTACTGTAGTCGGCCCGGTGCCTGCAGAGAGCTTCCCCAACAAGACCCACAAATTTAATTTAAGGCCAATCATACCCTGAACCCTTTAAAGCCCTATCAAGCCATGATAGCAACCCTTGAGCACTAAGGCCCACGATGCCTTGACCGGATCGCCCAAGCGCACGGTGACTCCTTCGGCCAGGCACTCGACGAAGCTGCAGAAGCCTTGTGTTCAGGGTCTAGGGTAAGGACCCATCCATAGTGATCTTAAGGGTTAGTAGTACTTATTCTTGGGACTGTCTGCATTCCGATGATGACTATAAACAGATAAATTCGTAAATAAGAGACAAATCAGCGGTTAAATACCAAATGAGTATGTACATGTACATAAAACATGTGTTTAGATATAAAACATATGTTTAGATTTTTCCCTCTCGCATGGCAGAGGAGGGTGGGCTTATCCGAATGACTAACGAACAAAAATGCATGCAACACACACACGCGCGCGTGCAATAATTAATCAGCTAGGTCTTAGGCTCTGTAAGAGCCTAAAATAGCTTCACAGGAAAGGGGGTTGGGGGCTCTATAAGTGCAGTACACTGGGCTTTGGGTTTTAGGGTGTGTGTGTGTGTGGTTTTGTTTACCCACCAAGCTAGCATAGCTTAACTTAAGATCGAACATCCGAGGATCTTGCCTCGAGACTCCAACCAGGCCTGGCCTGAAAAGGGCCTTCTTTTTTCGGTCATGATGAGCAGCCTGGCTGTGAATCTACGTCACATCTTCTTTCTCAAGCAGCGCGAAGAAGATCAAGACGCAGGATGTCGTAGCAGAGCAGCAGCCAGCCATGGTAGCAGCAGCTTCCAAGATGTGCCACCAGGTTACCAACCAGACCCCCCATCTAGCGACGACAGGAAAACGAAATTGAAGAAACAAGATCACAAGTGAAAGCCACACAGTTAAGGACCAAGTGTCGGAATGGTGAGTGATGACTATGGCACCCTGAAACACACGATAATGGGTACGAATTGCAGAACCGCAGGGATCGACAAAATCTCACCACGTGCTTTAGTCACTGAAGTTGGCTTCAGGTATCGTATTTACATCGCATGCTCGACTATCACTATAAGAGCATGCAAAGCAGTGGGGCTGGCAAGCTAGCTGAGAACAATGGGTCGATCACTTGAGTTCGACGCCAAAATGCCTTCATTCACGTTCTACGCCTTGCTACAGCGGAGAATGCGGGACACAAACTATGACACACACAATAAGCTGCCTGTAAGCATGGTGACAGACATATTCTCAACGAGACAACATCAATAAGTTAGGGACCGCCCACGACTAGTTAAGAGTTGAAAATACTTGAAGAGCCCCGAATGAACCTTGAACCCTCGAAACCCTACATAAGTCTGAGGCCCAAGACCGTCAACCTGAAGCGCCGTAAACCAAAAAAACTCTACTCGAAGATGCCTAAACCCCAAAACCCTAAACCCCTAAACCCTAAACCCTAAACCCTAAAACCCCAAACCCAAAACTCTAAAACCCTAAACCCCTAAACCCTAAAACCCTAAACCCTAAACCCTAAAACCCTAAAACCCGAAACCCCTAAAGCCCTAAACCCTAAACCCTAAAAAACCCTAAACCCTAAACCCCCTAAACC